TTCCCCCCCACTCTGCGCCGTTATCGACGCTCTCACACGCGCCCTGTTTTACTTACAGGGACATACTCAAAATTAGTTCTGCGCCACCGCTACGTAATTTTGCGGTTGAAGCGTTTCCATAGGCGCTAGCAATCTCCCTTATAATCTCTGGTCCAACTCCCCTGAAAATAGTGAATGCTCCGCAAGCTTCAATTTATGATCANAGGATGAAACTGGTACCAATCGATTGAGAATTGAATCTTCAATCGATTGCGGTTGTTTCATCCCTTCATCTCAATTAAAGGGGGAGAAACGAATATTTATGGATCGAGTGAGTCCCCAAACGGCTCTCCCCATTGAAAAATCCATTTCTCCTCCCCCAGCAGAGATTAAGGGATGAAACTGGTGACAATCGATTGAGAATTGGATCCTCAACCGATTGCGGTCGTTTCATCCCTTCATCTCAATTAGGGGAGGAGTGATGAATATTTGAAGCATGGAGTGAGTCCCTAAACGGCTGCTCCCATTGAAAAATCCATTTCTCCTCCCCCAGCAGAGATTAAGGGATGAAACTGGTGACAATCGATTGAGAATTGAATCCTCAATCGATTGCGGTCGTTTCATCCTTTCATCTCAATTAGGGGAGGAGAGATGAATATTTGAAGCATGGAGTGAGTCCCTAAACGGCTGCTCCCATTGAAAAATCCATTTCTCCTCCCCCAGCAGAGATTAAGTGATGAAACTGGTGACAATCGATTGAGAATTGGATCCTCAACCGATTGCAGTCGTTTCATCCCTTCATCTCAATTAGGGGAGGAGTGATGGATTTTTCAAGCGCCAGGGGATCCCGACCGATTCTCCGGCGGCTTTGATTAAAAAATCCATTTCTCCACCCCAGCGGAGATTAAGGGATGAAACTGGTACCAATCGATTGAGAATTGAATCCTCAATCGATTGCGGTCGTTTCATCCCTTCATCTCAATGAGGGGAGGAGAGATGAATATTTGAAGCATGGAGTGAGTCCCTAAACGGCTGCTTCCATTGAAAAATCCATTTCTCCTCCCCCAGCAGATATTAAGGGATGAAACTGTTGACAATCGATTAAGAATTGGATCCTCAACCAACTGCGGTAGGTTCCCCTCACCTACTCGACAGCGAACATCACCGCTCGCTCCGCCCTCCGATTCCCCCATACGCGTTCCCCCCCACTCTGCGCCGTTATCGACGCTCTCACACGCGCCCTGTTTTACTTACAGGGACATACTCAAAATTAGTTCTGCGCCACCGCTACGTAATTTTGCGGTTGAAGCGTTTCCATAGGCGCTAGCAATCTCCCTTATAATCTCTGGTCCAACTCCCCTGAAAATAGTGAATGCTCCGCAAGCTTCAATTTATGATCATCACAGCGCCACTTTCGCATTCTGCGCATGCGTAATATCCGGAAATTGTCACGTGGGTTATTTGAATTGAATACATCAAAGTAGTGACAGATCTTTCAATTGCAAATGTCGAACAAAAATATGAATTCATACGTCTATAAGCAGTCTATGTGTCGTGCCGAACTGTCCTGCAAGACCCAGCTCTTCAACATTTTTTATATCTAGACCCTCATGGAGTGCCGAGAAATGGAGACTTGCTATCAAATCTCCCCTCTTGGAGAATGTGGCAACGGAGAAATTATATGTACATAAAGTGTGCCATAGGCATTTCACAGAAGCAGATTTCTCAGTCACTCCCAATAGTCAAAGACGGAGACTGTACGTAAGTGCTATCCCAACTCTCAATCTCCCCAGTTTTGTCCAGAGTGATTAGTCCGAATGCGAATTGATCCATACCTGCACACAATGCTCTCAGAGACCTACATGAGCACAATGATGACAGAGGGAGTACGAGAGAAGAAAATGTAGTTATAGGAAGCGTGTAGTGGTATTGAACTATTTAATTACGCACAATTCTACGTTAGTGCGTTCGTGAGAGTTGTGAGGATTCTGTCCATCTAAGTACTTCATCAACAGTGTTGATGGAAATTGACATATCTGCAATTCTAGATCGAGATGATCAGTCGCACGATATGGACAGCAGGAACACGATAGAGGTGAATGCGTAGAGTGAGAGAGCGAAAGAGGAATACTAATGGATGGTTTAATTAATCACAATTATATAACAGCGTGCTTGCGGGAGTTCTGAGGATTTTCGCTGCTCAAGTACTTCATCAGAAGGTGTATCCCAGAAGATAATCCCTGACAAACTGGGGGAAAAGGCGAAAACGAAGACAAACACTAGCAAACCCGCGCTACTTTTGAAAAAAAGGATTCTGGGAAAGGAGCGTTGCGTAGCACGATGCCAAGTCCCTATGCAGGAATTGACCAAAATTCGTATTTTACAAAAAAAACCGATCCTTAAACAACAAGTGAGACGATATGAACAGCGACTTCAAGCACTGAAGAAAAGTGCAAGGTTGGACGTCTTCAAGAACTGGGAGAAATTTAATGTAGCACAAAAGACCTTCATCGAAATGCAGTTAATGTTTGCCGGAACCAAATCCAAGGTAACATAATCTTGACGATCACCGTATTATCATCATAGCCACCAAAAAATCAATATTGGTATTATGGTGATTAAATTATCAGACATTCAGAACTGGGGCTGTACGATGAGTCTTCCGAGTAAGGGAGAAACACGACTTCGTTAAACCATCTTAATAATTCACTTGATCTATTTTAAAATGTCTTTATTTTCAAGGTTTAGGTAAACTGTAATCAATTATTTGTCTTCGCAGTCCGGGTGAGTCGTATCAAAGTGTTTTTTTTTCTCTTCAGTTTTTCTAATTAAATTTTGTTTCTCTTCTATTTTTGCAAAGCTGGAAATCCTCTCCTTTCATCTCTCTATCTATTAC